TAAACAAGTGAGATTTCATTACGAGGGAACCTAGAATAGGCATTGTTCCTTAAACTTTTTGAGGAGTAGTTTTCTCTGTGCCGGTTTGGGTCCTTGCTTATATTTTCAAATGAACTCCAGCTTACAGGGAAGGCTGATCAAATGCTTGACTGGACTATCTTTATCCCATTCATGCTATTTTCCCTACATTGATACTTCTTATTTGTTGTTTGGGCAGTTAAGATCTTTCCCGTAGTTTGTGTTTCCTTAAGTCACAGCATGACAGCACGACTGCTCACTAGGTTCCCCTTCCACTCAGTCACCCACAGAAATGCTGTATCAAATGTGTGAGCTTCCGCTTCCAATCTTCACATCAATCCACCCCTTTCCTCTTTCTTCCTATAATTCACCGGTGTCAGTCCCCTTGCCCCCTCACTCTTCACTCCCCACAAGCAAGTCAGATTTCATTGTTGACCCTGTTTTACTAATGGCCCTCTTTGATTTCTGAATTTACAAAGGGAAAACACATATTCCAGGGTAAAATATCCCAATGGATTTGGTTTCTCAAAAGGACTTGTCTAATTACACACATATGCAAGGGTAACTTCAGAAATTTATTCGTAGGTCTTAATTCACAGAAACATTGGCACTTTACAGCAAAACAATTAGCATAATGAGAAATAAGTCACTGAGTGAGATATGGTGTTTTGGACCAGCTACACAGCTCTGTCTCTGCAAAGAAACAGGGTTCTGCCAAGACTCTTTGGTTTGGCAAGTGTTGTTCTGGACTTGTAGGAACATTTGGCGGCACCATCCAGAGGGATTTACTTGCAACTGATTTTGTGGGGTTTTTCTTGGTCTCCTTGTGCAGTAAGCACAGCTTCAACTATTTTCATAACGTTTCTCTTCAACTATTTTCGTAACATTTTTCTAACAATCTGGAAAAACAGAAAGTAACAAATCCCAATGAGGGGACTTCTTGGTTCTACATCCTTTCTCTGTGGATCCCAAGCGGGGCTCTGGAGGTGACCTTCCCCCTTTCCCATCTGCACCACTCAGGGAAGATCTGGCTACTATCCTGTCCTGAACCCATTTCCCTCTTGACCAAGGATTCCTCTTTAAATGGTGGAATAATCTATGTGGCTATGTGTTGGGCCCTCTGGGGTGGTTCTTTCCCACTTCGGATGGGTTCAAGAAAATTTTGATTTTTGGCATTTATCCAGCTTTTGTTTCATGGTTTGACTGAGAGTGCCATCCTTTACTGGTTTTTACATATGAAGGAGAAGGGGTGTTTATGAGATGTTTCAAAGTTCACATGAAACATTTAACAAAAATGGCCATAGATTGAGTTTCAAGGCATAACATAATAAATTCCTGTGGGTTGCAGTCCCAGAGTATGTTCTCTTGTCCACATCCTTAGGGACTGGAAATCAATTGAAAAGGAAAGCAATGGGAAAGTCAGCACCTGCTCTGAAATTCAGCAATACACTTATAGAAAAAAATGCTAAAAATACCAAGACTTGGGACCCAGAAGAGAGAACAATGAATGGTAGCCTATATTAATATTAACAAGAATATTAATATGCCAATCTCTTGAGGAAATAAGCGTTATCTGACTTCTACTAATGGCTGCCAATGCTCTGTATGACTTGATGTTAGGGACAAGGAACATAGATTAATCTTAGCTTTGGATTCATATCCCTAAAAGACCATGATTACAAACACTGCAAACAAAAACATCAGGTAAAGAATCACACTGCCGTTCCTTTAAACACCGGGTTGAATATCACAGGAAGGCTGCTGTGGGTTCAGCTTGGGTCACTCCCCCCACTCTGGGACAATGACTGTTGCTCATAGACTGCAGGTCACTCATTGGCTGCACCGCTGTACACTAAGGCATGAGCTGTTCTGTGGACACTCAGTAATCCTACTGACACATACCTGGAAGTAAGGAAGGTTTCTGTTCAAAAAGAAATGAAAAAATTATTGTCAGAGCAAACAGAGAATGAATTGCAATAGTGATCTCAGAGTCGGGGAAGCTGGAAAATGAATGGATTCTTGAAAATTTTATTTAGCTACATATACACTGTAACTGGGCCTCGTTTGCTTATTTACATGGATTCATGATGAGGGAGGTGCTGAACACGTTTAGGAGGGTTACCTCTCTTCTTATGTCAGCGTATTCACTTTCTCTGTTGCCATATCGCACATAATGAAGTTCTGGAAAGTTCCACCATACAGTCGTAGGAGAATGAGAGTGAAAAAAGTAAACATCAGGACCTTGATAATATCATCGTAAAATAACCGAGAAAGATAACTAATAAAAACGGACATTTAGGAAACCGAGGAAATGAAACCCGATCACGGAAACACCCCCTACTTTTCCTTGGAGCATATTGCACTACAGATATATTGGAGTTGACAGTGTTCTGCACAGTGGGAAAAATGCTTGATAAACCACAGGACGCCACATGCCCCCCAAGTCGGCAGGGTGCCACCCACCCCAACCTCCGGTGGGGTCCCCTCCCTTGACGAGCCACTGGTCTTTAGGGCCACCTGCAGAGGCTCTGAAGAGAGCCTTTGGGTTTCCCGGGTGCTCAAGTGCTCCTGAGACAGCGCACTTGCTTTTGGTGTACCTGAGGGCGGCATTCGTGCCCTGGGCCTCAGCGAGCTTGCCCATCTTCCCCGGCAGCAGTAGGCGCACGGCCACCTGGATGTCCCGGGAGGTGATGGTCACACGCTTGGCGTAGCGGGCCAGGCGACCAGCCTCGGTGGCGATGCGGTCCAATATGTCATGGACCATAGAGTCCATGACACTCACGGACTCCGGGGAAAGGCTGAGGCCCTGGTGAACCTGCTTCAGCACCTGGGGGAAATAGGCGGCAAAGCTGTTCCCGAAGCTGTCCCTGCGGCGGTTGGCATGGCGCCTGTGGGAACCTCGGAGCCCTCGCGTCTTCTTCTGGACGGTCGCGGAGTTGGCCTCTTTGGGCTCTTGGATGCTCTGGTCTTCCTCAGAGGTCATCTTAGAGGAAGCCTCAGCCATGGCAGAGGCAGCGGCCATTAGATGGCAAGACCAGACAGTGACGGTTGTGGACCAGGGAACGGGGGCACTTTGGTTTGGCCGCGTGGCTCTACGTCACAGTCCAACTCGACATCTGATTGGATGAAGTGTCACCCAGGGAGCCTGTCAACAATCCTCCCTCCATTGAAGGTGATTGGATGATCCTGTTGCTTGGCATCATGTCAGCCAATCACTGAGGGCATCTGCCGGCCTCAGCAGCCCCTGATACCTACCTCAGACAAAGGAACGCAGAGGCTTGCTCTGTCGCCCAAGCTGGAGTGCAGTGGTGCGATCTCAGCTCATTGCAACCTCTGCCTCCTGGTTTCAAGCGATGCTCCCTCTTCAGCCACCCAAGTAGCTTGGACTAGAGGCATGTGCCACCACACCTGCCTAAGTTTTGTGTGTGTGTGTATATATATATGTGTGTGTGTGTGTATATATGTGTGTGTGTGTGTGTATGTGTGTGTGTGTGTATATATATGTATACATGAGGAAACATGATGAAACATATATATACACATATATATACATATATACACATATATATACATATATACATACATACATATACATATATATATATATATATATATATATATATATATATATATATATAGTAAAACGTGGTTTCATCATGTTTCCTCAGGCTGGTCTCGAACTCCTGGACTACAGCGATTCTCCTGCCTTGGCCTCCCAAGGTTAAGGGATTACAGCTCGAGGTCATTTATGGGTTCAGGACTGGTCACCTGCTCACATTCTGAGCCAATGGCTCAGGCCCAGGGCTGAAGAGACTTCATTAGCTGAGCCAGTGCAGAGTGGGGTTTTGGTCCTCTCATTGGACACTTCCATCGTAAGTGATGCATACTCACAGAACATTAAGCTTTGCATTAAAAAAGATTGTAGACTGGGAAATAATAGAATTAGACAAATGTGAATGAGTTAGAGTCCTTATTTCAGTTTCTCAGAAGCTTGAAAAGGGTGCTGTTCATTGAATTGTTGATTTAGCTGTTTCTGCACTGTGGGTTTTTGTTATGTATTTAAATGAATTGTATAATAGAGGTAATGTTGAAAAAGGATTCTATGAGGTCTGCTTGTTCCATTAGTAATGTTTGTCCCGTTTGATGCTTCTAAATTGTTATTTATAGCAGTAAACTGTTTATCTGTGTGTGTGTGTGTGTAATATGATTTAATTAATATTTCAGGTATGAGTTTTGTAACCACGTTTTTAAATATTCTCAGATTTTTTTTAGGGTACATCCTTCAATGGGTATCAACACCATGTTTTATTTTCTTGGAATAAGTTTTCTCCACCAGACACAATAACTCATGCCTGTAATCCCTTAACCTTGGGAGGCCAAGGCAGGAGAATCGCTGTAGTCCAGGAGTTCGAGACCAGCCTGAGGAAACATGATGAAACCACGTTTTACTCTATATATATATATGTATGTATATATATGTATATATATGTGTATATATGTATATATATGTGTATATATATGTTTCATCATGTTTCCTCATGTATACATATATATACACACACACACACATACACACACACACACATATATACACACACACACACATATATATATACACACACACACAAAACTTAGGCAGGTGTGGTGGCACATGCCTCTAGTCCAAGCTACTTGGGTGGCTGAAGAGGGAGCATCGCTTGAAACCAGGAGGCAGAGGTTGCAATGAGCTGAGATTGCACCACTGCACTCCAGCTTGGGCGACAGAGCAAGCCTCTGCGTTCCTTTGTCTGAGGTAGGTATCAGGGGCTGCTGAGGCCGGCAGATGCCCTCAGTGATTGGCTGACATGATGCCAAGCAACAGGATCATCCAATCACCTTCAATGGAGGGAGGATTGTTGACAGGCTCCCTGGGTGACACTTCATCCAATCAGATGTCGAGTTGGACTGTGACGTAGAGCCACGCGGCCAAACCAAAGTGCCCCCGTTCCCTGGTCCACAACCGTCACTGTCTGGTCTTGCCATCTAATGGCCGCTGCCTCTGCCATGGCTGAGGCTTCCTCTAAGATGACCTCTGAGGAAGACCAGAGCATCCAAGAGCCCAAAGAGGCCAACTCCGCGACCGTCCAGAAGAAGACGCGAGGGCTCCGAGGTTCCCACAGGCGCCATGCCAACCGCCGCAGGGACAGCTTCGGGAACAGCTTTGCCGCCTATTTCCCCCAGGTGCTGAAGCAGGTTCACCAGGGCCTCAGCCTTTCCCCGGAGTCCGTGAGTGTCATGGACTCTATGGTCCATGACATATTGGACCGCATCGCCACCGAGGCTGGTCGCCTGGCCCGCTACGCCAAGCGTGTGACCATCACCTCCCGGGACATCCAGGTGGCCGTGCGCCTACTGCTGCCGGGGAAGATGGGCAAGCTCGCTGAGGCCCAGGGCACGAATGCCGCCCTCAGGTACCCAAAAGCAAGTGCGCTGTCTCAGGAGCACTTGAGCACCCGGGAAACCCAAAGGCTCTCTTCAGAGCCTCTGCAGGTGGCCCTAAAGACCAGTGGCTCGTCAAGGGAGGGGACCCCACCGGAGGTTGGGGTGGGTGGCACCCTGCCGACTTGGGGGGCATGTGGCGTCCTGTGGTTTATCAAGCATTTTTCCCACTGTGCAGAACACTGTCAACTCCAATATATCTGTAGTGCAATATGCTCCAAGGAAAAGTAGGGGGTGTTTCCGTGATCGGGTTTCATTTCCTCGGTTTCCTAAATGTCCGTTTTTATTAGTTATCTTTCTCGGTTATTTTACGATGATATTATCAAGGTCCTGATGTTTACTTTTTCACTCTCATTCTCCTACGACTGTATGGTGGAACTTTCCAGAACTTCATTATGTGCGATATGGCAACAGAGAAAGTGAATACGCTGACATAAGAAGAGAGGTAACCCTCCTAAACGTGTTCAGCACCTCCCTCATCATGAATCCATGTAAATAAGCAAACGAGGCCCAGTTACAGTGTATATGTAGCTAAATAAAATTTTCAAGAATCCATTCATTTTCCAGCTTCCCCGACTCTGAGATCACTATTGCAATTCATTCTCTGTTTGCTCTGACAATAATTTTTTCATTTCTTTTTGAACAGAAACCTTCCTTACTTCCAGGTATGTGTCAGTAGGATTACTGAGTGTCCACAGAACAGCTCATGCCTTAGTGTACAGCGGTGCAGCCAATGAGTGACCTGCAGTCTATGAGCAACAGTCATTGTCCCAGAGTGGGGGGAGTGACCCAAGCTGAACCCACAGCAGCCTTCCTGTGATATTCAACCCGGTGTTTAAAGGAACGGCAGTGTGATTCTTTACCTGATGTTTTTGTTTGCAGTGTTTGTAATCATGGTCTTTTAGGGATATGAATCCAAAGCTAAGATTAATCTATGTTCCTTGTCCCTAACATCAAGTCATACAGAGCATTGGCAGCCATTAGTAGAAGTCAGATAACGCTTATTTCCTCAAGAGATTGGCATATTAATATTCTTGTTAATATTAATATAGGCTACCATTCATTGTTCTCTCTTCTGGGTCCCAAGTCTTGGTATTTTTAGCATTTTTTTCTATAAGTGTATTGCTGAATTTCAGAGCAGGTGCTGACTTTCCCATTGCTTTCCTTTTCAATTGATTTCCAGTCCCTAAGGATGTGGACAAGAGAACATACTCTGGGACTGCAACCCACAGGAATTTATTATGTTATGCCTTGAAACTCAATCTATGGCCATTTTTGTTAAATGTTTCATGTGAACTTTGAAACATCTCATAAACACCCCTTCTCCTTCATATGTAAAAACCAGTAAAGGATGGCACTCTCAGTCAAACCATGAAACAAAAGCTGGATAAATGCCAAAAATCAAAATTTTCTTGAACCCATCCGAAGTGGGAAAGAACCACCCCAGAGGGCCCAACACATAGCCACATAGATTATTCCACCATTTAAAGAGGAATCCTTGGTCAAGAGGGAAATGGGTTCAGGACAGGATAGTAGCCAGATCTTCCCTGAGTGGTGCAGATGGGAAAGGGGGAAGGTCACCTCCAGAGCCCCGCTTGGGATCCACAGAGAAAGGATGTAGAACCAAGAAGTCCCCTCATTGGGATTTGTTACTTTCTGTTTTTCCAGATTGTTAGAAAAATGTTACGAAAATAGTTGAAGAGAAACGTTATGAAAATAGTTGAAGCTGTGCTTACTGCACAAGGAGACCAAGAAAAACCCCACAAAATCAGTTGCAAGTAAATCCCTCTGGATGGTGCCGCCAAATGTTCCTACAAGTCCAGAACAACACTTGCCAAACCAAAGAGTCTTGGCAGAACCCTGTTTCTTTGCAGAGACAGAGCTGTGTAGCTGGTCCAAAACACCATATCTCACTCAGTGACTTATTTCTCATTATGCTAATTGTTTTGCTGTAAAGTGCCAATGTTTCTGTGAATTAAGACCTACGAATAAATTTCTGAAGTTACCCTTGCATATGTGTGTAATTAGACAAGTCCTTTTGAGAAACCAAATCCATTGGGATATTTTACCCTGGAATATGTGTTTTCCCTTTGTAAATTCAGAAATCAAAGAGGGCCATTAGTAAAACAGGGTCAACAATGAAATCTGACTTGCTTGTGGGGAGTGAAGAGTGAGGGGGCAAGGGGACTGACACCGGTGAATTATAGGAAGAAAGAGGAAAGGGGTGGATTGATGTGAAGATTGGAAGCGGAAGCTCACACATTTGATACAGCATTTCTGTGGGTGACTGAGTGGAAGGGGAACCTAGTGAGCAGTCGTGCTGTCATGCTGTGACTTAAGGAAACACAAACTACGGGAAAGATCTTAACTGCCCAAACAACAAATAAGAAGTATCAATGTAGGGAAAATAGCATGAATGGGATAAAGATAGTCCAGTCAAGCATTTGATCAGCCTTCCCTGTAAGCTGGAGTTCATTTGAAAATATAAGCAAGGACCCAAACCCGGCACAGAGAAAACTACTCCTCAAAAAGTTTAAGGAACAATGCCTATTCTAGGTTCCCTCGTAATGAAATCTCACTTGTTTAGATTTGTCTGATTCTGCTCTTCTTCAGGCTAGAATCTTTTGTTTAAGAAAACCTTCATGACTGGCCTCTATGCATCATGGGGATGATGGAATGCTGTCCAGTGGAGCAGCACAAGCTCCACTCGGATCCGTGTCAGCCAGGGAGGCACCGGCAGCCGAGGAGCCACAGCCCAATGTGTGATCAGGTTTCCTGGTCTGAACTAGGAAGAGTTAGTTGTCCAGGGATGTTCAATGGGAGTTGAAGGGGAAACCTGTGATTAGATGGGTGTACTTCTTTGGTTCTTCGATGGGTTGTATGCTTTTAATGCTGTTGATGGAGGTGTATTCTGTTAGTTTTCTAGGGCCGCTGAAAAATATTCCAGAGACTGGCTGACATAAACACTACGTATTTTTTATCTCACAGTTCGGGATACCAATTGTCACCTTTTTGTAAGGAGACCAATCCTGTTGCGTAGAGTTAACCCTTATAACTTCACTGTAACCAGATGACCTGTGTAGAGACTCTCTCCAAATAAGGTCACATTCTTTTTTTTTTTTTTTTTTGTTACCAATTTGTTACAAAATTTATTACAGTTTGATTACAAATTTATTACAAAAGTTATGGTTCCATATGAAGAAGAGTGAATTGTTCTTTTGTTTTTTTTTTCTTTTCTTTTCTTTTTTATTATTATTATACTTTAAGTTCCAGGGTACATGTGCATAACGTGCAGGTTTGTTACATATGTATACTTGTGCCATGTTGGCGTGCTGCACCCATCAACTCGTCAGCACCCATCAACTCGTCATTTACATCAGGTATAACTCCCAATGCAATAAATAAGGTCACATTCTAAAACACTGGGGGTCAGGAGTTCTACCTGTGAATTTTAGGGAGACACAACTCCATCCATACTAGTATATCATCTGCATCCACTCAGCAGCACAAATTAACGTCCTCACATAGAAAATACATTTATTTCATCACTATATCCCCAAAGACTTAACTCACTCCAACGTCAATTCTCCAATATCTCACTTGATAAACTTCTATATCTGGAATGGGTGAGTCTCCAGGTATGACTCATGCTGAGACGGGAATTTTCTCCACCACTGCACCTCTGAAGCTAGACAAGGTATCTGCTTCTGAAAGACAATTGTGGGACAGGTACCGGATAGGGCTTATCATACCAAAAGTAAGAAATCTGAAAAACTACCGAAGTTCATGGACCCTAAGCACTGTGGAAACCTAGTGGGAGCAAATTCCGTTATATTCTAAGGATGGAAGAGATTCTTCTTGGGCTCAATGCTCTGTCCTTGAGGCCCAATGGGGTAACAGCTTCACACCCTAAGCCCTGGGCAGCGGGGTGGGGGCTCTCCCTCCAGCCTGGGCTGCTTCAGCCCATCCCTCTGAAACCGAGGAGGTGGGACAAATGCCTGGAACTCAGGAGGTGACCTCCGTTTCTGGGACCAAGAGAGAGATGTCCCAGTCCCCTAGTAATGTGCCCCTGGTTCTTGGGGGAAGTGAAGGCCACGCCAACCTCTGATCCAACTTTGGAGTCCTACTTCCCCGTCTCGAAAATGAAGAAATGGTCACAGCTGGGTACCTCAGTCAGTCCCTTTCTTGCAGGTACAATCCAGGAACTCCAACAGCCTCCTTTCATTTCATCCCATTTTTGTCCCCGTTCAGTCCAGTCTGGCAACGTTTTTCTGGTATAAAACTCTCAAAAAATCGTTGGCTTCCCATGGAATACACATGAGTCCAGGCCATCAGACAAGAAGTTGTCTACAGATCTTCCTTGAATATCCATATCTCCCATATCTGAATTCCTAACTTCTGTGGAGATGGTTGATTGGATCCGTGAGACACAGGCCTCTCCTCTTAGGCTAATGGTTTTCCAGGCACACCCTCGCACCTGTTTCCAGGGCCAGTTATCTGCATACTTCGAGTGCCTTCTGAATCATCCAATGCTGGCTCCCTTTTCCTCCGTGCTTCCTTGGCTAATTTCTCCCTCTTCTCTCCCCTTTACTATATGCATCTAACAGTAACCAGTTCAAATCCTAAACACTTCACTCAGGTGGCAGTGTATTGGCCAAGACTCCCCCTGGTCCTCCTAAGTTTCGCTGAAAACTCAAGTAACAAAAGGCAGATCCATAGGACATAAGGCATACCAGCTCATTCGAGTGCATCCCCAGGAGCCTTTAGTGTTAATAGCCGAAGATACATGGGAAATGATCTATTTTTATGCCTGGACTCAAAGGAGTACGGACAGTTGTGTAGAAATATGATGGGACAAAAAGGCTATGATCTCATGCTAATAGATGGAGTGGGGGAAACCTGGCAAGGCCGGTCCTTCTAGACTCTGCTTGGCCTATCTGAGCACACAGTCATTCCTCCCAGATACGGGGCAGGATTCTCTCTGGAATGGGAGTCTTGTGACTTCCATTCAAACAAGATAGGTTAGATCATTTCTTCATGAACAGTTTTTACATGAAAATGTGAAAATATTACAAAATTAGAAAAAAGAGCTTCTGGTTTCTCAGGCCCATCTTCGGGAAGAGAGATTCTGGTCTCTCTGTTTAGCCCCCACAGCTGAATGGGACTGAGAGACGGGAGGACCAAGAACGTCAGAGAAAATCTTTTTCACCTGAAACTACCTCTGAACCCCTCATTTTGGAGTATAGTGCCCTGAGCTCCAACACTAGAAATCAGCTACATGTGCAAGTTCATCACTTACAATTTCTACTTTCCTCAAAGACACTCAGAACATAATACAGCCCAAACCTTTGCCACTGTAAAACTAGGATCGCCTTTTCTCATGCTTCCAATAACCTCTTCCTAGTCTCTGTCTGAAAACACACCACAAGCACCTTTAACACACATTTTGGCGATCATGATATATGTATTCTCTAAGTCTGAGATCCTTTCTCTACAACAAAGAATTCTTTCTTAGCCCTCGTTTCAGTTGCATTTGGTGTTCATATTTCCCCCTGCCGTTTCCTAAAGGCACTCTAGGCTTCTTGTGTCATGCACGTCAAAACGCTTCCAGCCTGTATGCATTACCTAGTTCCAAGGCCTCTTCCAATCTTTCGGATGTTCTTTATCACATCATGCCACTGCTTGGCAACAGAATCTCTAGTAGTTTGCTAGGGCTATTCTGACAAAATAACAAAAACCTGGCAGCATAAACAGCAGAAATTTATTGTACACGTTTTGGCAGGCTGGAAGTCCAAATCAAAGCACCAGCTGGGTTGGTTCCTTCTGAGTAGTAAGAGGGAAGGAACTCTTCCAGGAATCTTTCCTTGGCTTGTAAATGGCCCACTTCTCCCCATGCCACTTCACATTTTCTTCCCTGGACACATGTCTCTGTGCCTGAATTTCCCCTTTTGGTATGCACAATGCATTCAAGTCATTTTGGTTAGAGCACACCCTAATGAATGTAATTGAACTTGAGTACCCCAGTAAAGGACCTACCTTCAAGTAGGAGAGAGATGAGGGGTCAGGAGTCTAATAGATGTATTGGGGACTGAGGGATTTTAGGTTGCACACTCCTTACGGAATTCTTATGACTGATGACCTGTCACTGTCCCCCATCACCCCGATATGGGACCGCCCAGTTGCAGGAAAACAGGCTCAGGGCTCCCACTGATTCTCAGTTATGGTGAGTTGTAAAATTACTTCGTTACACATTACAATATAATAATAATAGGCATAAAATGCACAATAAGTGCAATGCACTTGAGTCATCCCAAAACCATCCCCCCAATGCCGTTCTGTGGAAAAATTGTCTTTCCTGAAACCGGTCACTGGCGCCAGAAAGGTTGGGGACCGCTGGTCTAGCTAGCACGTGCCGGCAAACTGCAATGCCACGAGTCATTTGTTATCTTAGCCTATGTCTGGGAACAGGGGCAATATTTGAAATTACTTCTCCTCTGAAGAGGGTATGGCATCCAGTCACTATTGAACTTCAGTACACTATTGAGAATTCTGATTGTCAATGGCCAACAGATTGAATTAACCTTCTGTGTTATATTAAAAGGAATTTTGAGATTTCTCATCCTAACCGATTGATAAAAAAAGGTTAAATATATAAAAAGACACATCATGGTGTGGCAGGTCGCCTTAAAACTTGGCTTGACAAAAGTGAAGAGCAAAAAATCAGACCAAAACAAAGATAACCTCCTGTGTCTGCTCAAACTGCCCCATGTGGGAATAACAACAAAAGCCACTCACTCCACCTTGCGCCCTTCGAGTTCAAATTCTGCACTTCTGCCTCGATGCCGTGAGTTGTTGCATTGCTGGTCAGGAAACCAGACCCTCTTCGTTGGATATTGGCGTGACGTTTGAGGAGTATCGATTTCTTATTGACCCTTTTCCCTTTCTTGGATTTCTTTTGACTTCCTGTCTTCCTTCACCTGCAATGGGGGCACATGAGACCCTTTGGCTTTCAT